AAGGTAAAAAATGATGAAATTTTTCGAATTACTAAATGCAGAATAAAACTAAATATGGAAAAATATGAGGCAAAGTGTAGTGCAAAGCATATCACTTAGGCTTTAAATACCTTAGGCCTTTCAAAAAAAAGGCATCAGCTCAGATAGCAGTTGTCAGGAGCGTGTATTTTAGATTCGAAATCTATTAAAATTATATTATTTTACAAATGTTTGAAAGCATTCTAGGCATTAAACATCAAAGGAATTTACTTGCTTTCCTGATGTTGTGCTTAGCACATTTGCCCAGTAAGTAAGCGGATACATATGCATATATGTATATGTATATGTAAAATTGCAAATATTATTTTATGTTTAAAATTTCCTTTTCAGCAGGAAATTCTGGAAGAACACGTTTCCCGTGCAAATGTATTCGGTTTGCTAGTTCTCATATGCTTATATTATGCGTTGATTTCGTAGACAGAAACTCATTAGGTCTCCTTCGGCACACACAATTTATCATGAATGTTGTAGAAAATCACTGAGTCCTCCTCATTACTTGAACGTTAACTGTAATTGTTGGTTTTCGTTGCTGATTTGCTTTAACAGTTAGATACTCAAGTGCCAGAGAAGAGATTGTCTCTTCATGTTTGACTAATGCCGTTTTCACTATGATTGATTGATTTCGACAGAATTCATCATCATTTTGTAAATGTTTTCCTATTATTTTTGTTGTTCTTGCTTGCTCGTTACTATTTGCTGTTATTGTCACGAAATCATTGCGTTATCGCATTCATGATTTCAGTAATGATAATGCTAATGATAAGTGAAATAAAAAAAATTAAAATAAAAAAATAAAAAAAAAACCTTGCTTTGAATACGTAAGTATTGCCTTCAAGGAGCATCCAGCAAAAAAAAAAAAAAAAAAAAACAAACAAAGAAATCAATCCTAAGCACATATGAGTTTATGAATCAAAAAGAGCCAATCAAAATATACCGAAAAAAACAATGCATGCTCTTCAGAATTTTCCAATTTAGATAAAATTAGTTTCGATTTGTAGTTATATTCAAGAAATTTGACACATGTTATGATTAATGGCAGCATATTGACATAATTTGCAAGAGAAGAAAATCAAAAAAAAAAAAAAAATAAATAAAAGGAAAGGAAAGAAAATTGGTTTTCCTTCAATAAACATCGCACCATGAACAGATTGCATAAAGTTTTCGTGCCGCTTATATGTATGCGTTCTCCAAACTTTTCACCAAGACTGTAAACTATATACGACCTTTAAAATATCACAAGGGATTTGATAAGTAAAAGCGTTCAAGCTTTCAACTTTCAAAACAATTTTTTAATATAAATTTTTCTTATTAAGTACCAAAGCATACAAACGCACACCAACCACGCACTAGTACATTAGATTTATTGTTCTTATAGCAACGGTCCGAATTATCCAGCAGCCATTACACATGCATGCAAATAACAGGAGACTTAAATGTTTCGTTAGTTTCGCAATTTATGTTTTATATCGTAGCCTACTATCTGCCCTTACACATAATACTGGTTTCACAAAGGGATAACTGTAGACGGAGAAGCGTCACAATTTGTTACATATACTTCTTAACTTCTGTAGATAGATAGTTCGTGTCGGAACTAAATGTATTATTAATCTCAAAGCTTAAGACAGCAATATAAATGGGCGGGAAAGAGGTAAATTCTAAGACTGCAACTTGGTTGAGTACTAATAAGTATGGGTAATGGATTATTTTTGTTTTGAGGAGTATGTTCGAATGACTAGTTCAGTCGCCGTAATAAAGCTACATATATTTTTTATTGATATTAAGTTCAACACGTCCAAGAGCTAGTTACTGCAAAGAAGCATAAAGATTTTCGTCCACACAGCACCTAAAAGCGTAAGTGTCATAAGACTCTATCGCCAATTGCAAAGTGAAAAAGTGGATCTCTTACGAATCCACCGGTATGATTGCCGTAGTACGACTAAGACGATTTCTTGCAAATTTTTTTTTTTTTTTGTCTTGATTTTCTTCACACCGATTAGATATAGTGATGAAACGAATTTACCATTAACATCCGAGTAGTGTGCATAAGCTAAAATCTTACTTTATACAAGTGCAACTTTTTTCTAACATTTCGAAAAACTATGATTTATGATTGAACCATAACTCTAACACATTTATCCAAAATATGGGCTCGCTTGCGAACAGCGTCAAAGGATAATTTGTCCTATTCGTATGTTTTTCATGTTCAACCTAAAAGATAGCAGAAGTAATGGCCAACGGTGGGCAGTGCTTGGTATCGTTCTTTAATATAGATAGTGTAAATAAGGGTCTGCTGTTTTTTTGTAAAAAATTGACGGAAAAAAATGAGGACAAAATATTTTATTCAAACTATTGTGTATCGCCAAGGCAGATTATAACTTTTTCCGTGAAAAGAAAGGCCCAATTCGAACAGACAGTAAGTTCCCGATTGAAACGAATGTTAAGTAGAAGCAGCAACTTGTTGCAGCAGCTTGTTGGTGCTGCTTATGTTCCTCAAGCGAGTTTTCCAATACATTTCTTTATACTGTCAATAGCATATTGCGTCCGTTTCTCGTCCCAATTGCATCAATTGTTATCAGCAGTGTTTAATGGTAATCATTTCATTCTCTTGGCACAGACACAGTTAACATGATCCTCCTCCTCACATAAAGCCGTCACGCATATTGAACTTAATCGCCGATATTGGTTACTTGCGTCGGGTGCGTCATGATTACTTCGCCTATGGATATTATAATGCATCAATCGTTCATCAATTGTAACGATTCAGTAGCATTACCCTTCTAACTAAGTAGGAAAACTCATATATCCCATGAACGGCATTTTTCTTAGTGCAGAAATCGATCTGCTTAAAGATCACCATATGTGTGTTCCGTACACTTTTCGGAAAAACTTATACTGCGTAGAGCTTAAAGGGGATAAATGCGAAAGAAAAGGTTACACTCTCTTTTTTTTCACAACTGGTCTCTGTCGGAACACAGCAAAAACTTATTTACGTCTCAGTAATAAAAAAATTAAATTTTGCCAAAAAAAAAACAAAAATCCCTTAATACAAAATTTACGGCATCGGTCAATTTGACTGGTTTTTATTAACGCTGAAGGGAACATAAGTTCACAACATGAAGCGAGAACTAGTTTTTACTTTGTTCGTATTAAAATTTGATTCTTTTTACGATCCATAACGGGATCTTAAGATGTTCACGGATGCTACAAGTTTATATCAGCTCGCAAAATAAACATTACATCACGGTTTTTGATCACAAAACAGGGCGAACACCCAACCATTCAATATTTGAATCGCGCATCGTGTCATACTTAGCGCTTGGCAACTCTTTGTAAGCGATTGTTTAAATTCAAAACAAGTAAGAAAATTATATTCGGCCGTGACCGAATCTTTTATAACCAACACCTTGATCGTAAAAATACGGGAGAGAATAAAATTTTTATACCTTATAATATTGGGTGAGCGCGTATGATTTTTCCTATTTTTCGAATAAAAGTCGAAGTTTCTATAGTGGGTGTTCCGGACGTTATGAGTAATAACGGAAAGCGAAGGTACTCACAATTCTAGTTTCATAGATGTATGGTCCTTGTAGGCGCGTCCTTTGTATACTTCAGTTCACTTTCCAATCCTTTTGCACACTTGTAAGCGATTTATTTAGTCTCGCTAACTGGACTGTGCTCACTTCAACCAATTTGGCTCATTTGCAATACCCATCTGCGTGCAAGAACTTTCATAATTTCTGTCAAAATTTAAGGCGCTAGCTTAGTTATTCCATGGCCATGAAAAGGTTTACAATAGTGGCCAACAGTGGATAGAAGGACTTACGGAGAGGCGGACAGATGGACTTGATTAGGTAAAATCAGAATTTGATGCTGATCAAGAATATGTAGACCTTAGGATTTCCCTGAAGCTTCCTTCTGGGCGTTGCAAAGGGGAGATGAACTACGCTTTGATGGGTAGCATAGATGTGCCGAAACTCTCACCTCCCAGTGGTGATCCCCGGGCAACGGCTTCGGCCGGCTAAGAAGAGTTTAAGGTTTTGGGCTGCTAACGCGGCGACGAGTTTCTGAGAGATGGTGGAAGGGTTGGCTGGAAGATGAGCTCTTCACTCTATAGCTGGTTACTACCTAGGAAATATCTGAATGGGTTTAAGTACGTTGAAGGTAGTAATCTAGCGAGTGCATGGTAGATTCTGCCATGTCAGTGCAATACCTGAGACCTATATATCTTGAAGAAAAGTAGTTCACTGGTGTTGGTAACCAGGAGAGTATGGAGAATCCGAAGCAAGTGCGGTTGTTTTTAACATCCGCCCAAAGTGTGCCTAAGGCTTTGTAAAATAAACTGGGAGCCACGGGGGTCAGGAGGCTCGCCTCACAAAGCCACGTATGCCTGCGGGTGTATGATGGACTTTGTCCTTAAGTCGTAATGAATAAATTAATTATACTATTAATGCAAAGAGGAATTGACGGACGGCTTTCCCTTTGGCCGATTAGTAGAAGATATGTGGCAAATTGATTTAATACATGCAAAAATGAAAAAAGGTATATGACGGAAAGGTTTTTCCCCTTTTACCTATTTTTACTTTTGAACACATGTCACGGATGCCTGCGGGTAATGGTGGTAATTGATCAACGGCGCCGTGGAAGCATTATGGCGGAAGCGAGCGCAATTTTTACCCTTTTTGAACGCATATCGTTGATCAATTTGTGAGTCCTGACTGCTTGGGTGCAGCCCTTCGAGGAATACTCGTGGTGGTTGTGGTTGGCGAGTTCCTAGCTAAAATGGAACAATTGAGTGCAGCTAGGCCTCGCCATTGACCCAGAGTGGGGTTTATTGTTCCATACACAATAAACCGTTCTGGACTCTGGTGCTGTTTAGGCCCCTACTCTGTGGGGATTGTCTAACTCGCCAGGGGGCGTAGTACGCTTAAAAAGTGGCTTGGGCCACCGTGGGGTTAAGCCTTTCAGGCAGGAACCCACGTTAAACCCTTGCCACAAATTCTGGGCGTTGCAAACGTTCTTGATGGGTATAAAATGACAGACTGACGGCCAACACTGAAACTACATACAGAATATTCTGTAATTTCGAGGCCATAGTTTAAGTTAAAACGGTAAAATGCTCAGATTGTTTGTGCAACTGTGCACGAGCCTTTGTATCGATTTCGAACATAAAATGTAAACTCGCGTCAGTTAGGAGACAAAAAAATTGTTACAAAAAAATCTTGAGGTCGTGATTATGCTTTCCATCCATGGGATGAAAGACAGACGGAAAGAAATGTCTAAAGTGCTTTTGCTATCAGTTTTGATCAAAAGCATATATATATAAAGCATATAAATATATATATTATGGACCTTTCGACGCATAATTCCAAGACGGAAATATTATGACAGATACGGTGAGTATCGAGGAAATCCAAATATATAATCTTTGTCACTATTTGGTTTTCTTTTCTTTTCTTTTCTTTTTTTTTTTTTTTGACTTTTGTAAAAGCATTGAGAACTTTGCACACAAGTCTTTGTTACTTTCGTTACACATCAAAAGATAATTCATCAAAAGTTGTGTACAAGGTACGTCTCAACTCCCAGTTATAAATGTATGCGCGTATGTGCGCCTGCATAATAAATAATTCAACCAGCATATTAAGCCACACAAATGAAGGTAAAGATGAAGAAAAGAAGGAAAGAAAAATAGTAAAAACAAAGCAAGAAAATAAGTTTTAAAGACGACAAGTTTTGACTTACAGCGAATCTTGTTTACTCAGCACCGAAAGTTATATACCGTTTTATTTTAATTAGGAAAAGAGACGCCGGTAAAGATTTTTAAAACGAAATCTTCCATTTAAACGAAATTTTTCATTTCGATTTACGTGAACGAAATTTGTGCGAAGTGTCTTTCTTTTCCCCGTAATAATAATAATAATCAAATAAGCAAAGGAAAAGTCCCAGGTTTGTTGTGCGGTTTCAAGTTTTGTTTGTTTACCCGTAACCGAACCGAATATTATTATACTATATATATATATATCTGTTCGGTGAAAATTCATAAAGACTGCACACAATAGATATATCAAACTTTAACTTATGCTCGAGACGTCGATCAGCCGGTTAGAGATGGCAATGACATTTGTAAAATTTATAAAATGCATCTCTTATATAAGGATCGGATTGACTGACAAACTGAACACACTGAAATCGTGTACCAGCAGATATGAGTGAAGGCGATGTAGAAAGCGTACCGCAAAAGTTTAGCTAACTTTATAAAACTTATTTAGTCTTACTATTTACATATCTATCTACCAAAGCGATACCAAGACATTAAAATATTATTATTTATATACATTTTTTTTCTTCTTCTTCTTCTTCTTTGCCGGTACGCCGTTTTTTTACGAAATGTTAAATTAAAAAGTATTTGCATTTTCGCTGCAATTCATTCGACAGGAAATAAGAAATTTTTGCAAACGGAAAACTAGTAATTTTTTGTCATTAATTGAATTTTTTGAAAATTTCCGGATAGTTTTAAATAAAAAATATTTCGCTTTATTAGTAAGTTATAGTCAACGCGAGAGACAGACACATAAGCATTCGCGAACATTTGCATCGTTGTATCAGAAACATTTCTTAAGAAACAGATAATTGAAACTCAGTACTTATTGCAATTATTAGAGATGACTACGTCTAGGGTCCTAAGCTACCTTTCTATGAGGCGTAATCTGGTCAATATTTTTTTTTTTATTTTATCTATAAATATTTTGAAGAGTAATCAAGCGGATCTTATAAAACTGGGGCCGGCTTATGGCTGTTGACTTTGACTATGCTCTTCGATACCAATTTTATCTTCGAACAAATTTATGTTCGCGGAAAAAATCATACATGGGATTAACAGCTGCACACTCGCCACACTAATGTGTCGACCCGATAGACGACTCGATCTTGACAAGCACAAATCCGAACGTAAAAATTAATATCGAAATTATACGTTGACAGCCATAAATCAATTCTTATACGCCCGCAAACGCTAAGAATCGAAGCAAACTTATACTTTTATGTTTTTATGTCAATTTACAAAGTATGAATAAAAACGTTGCCGGATAACGTAGATCACATGCTCGCCTACGACTGTTTCGCTGAATTTGCGATCTCTGCGAAACCCGCAACCATTGAGTTATTAGTTACAATTCTTCGCCTATTCGGCTACTCATATGGGCTCTTACGCTTTTTTATATTACATGGAAATGAAAGAACGATAGAATGGAAAAGAAAAAGAGATCGTTTAAGCCGCATTCAAAAAATTAATCAAATATATCCAGTGATGTAAATATCAGTTAAGCACACAAGACCGAAGCACCATAAGCATTTACATATAAATGTATGTGTACATTCATATCTTCGTATATATGCCTACAAACGAATAGTCACCCGTTACTATTGGTCCTTTGTCATCTTGTGTTTACAATCCTAACACCAGAAACTTGGGATAAATCCTATGGTAAATATAAGGGAAATCTATAGCATTCAGTAATAAATTTAGTAAAATTTTTTTAACGAAAACCCAAAAAGGTTCTTGTTAAATATATAAAAAAAAAAAAAAAAAATGTTGTCTGGAAATATTGAGATATCTGAGTAAAACTCTGAACCAAGCCATTGTCACAGGTCTCTTTTGAAGTCAACTTTACACCATTGAGAGAGTTTTGCAGAGAGTCAAACCAGTGGTAGAGTCAAACGTGTCAGAGACAGAGACTTAATACATCAAAAGCTTTCTCAATTTTTTCAAAATCATTAACGGTACGGTATGCGTAGCCTGGCATTGATGCGATGAAAACCGATGCAATTCCTATTGACTTGAATTCTTAAGTTAAGACCAAGAAAAGATCTTTGAAAAATGTTGTGTTCCATGGAGAGTAGTTCTGCGCTACCTCGACAAAGAATATCTTCCCCACTATTAGTTGTTGACTGCAGAGAATGAAATCAATATGATTATCCCCGTTCAATCCCAGCGAGTAAAACGTATGATCTCTCTCAACTTTTGCCATTTCAAAGCAAAAGATCTTTTTTGCAGATTGTCTTCGTAAGTGAATTACTTTTCAAATTCACATTTTCCAACAATCAACCTAAATCGTTTCTTTTTCCATGCGGCTTGAAAACTATTTCTAAACTCGTTTCTAGTAAATGTTTCGGGTAAGTGTTTCGCATTTTCATTGCGAGCATCTGCAAATTTTCGCACGCTAGCGAAGCCGCTATCACACCTTGATCGATATGATATTGTAATATAAAGCGAAACGCGAAACTGCTGTCAAATGGACTGACAAACGTCACAACATTTTTTGACTTTTAATTATCTGTCGTCTGTTACCTGCTTTAATTACATTTCACCTTTTCCATGTCTGCGTTGGTTTGAGTGAATGTCATCCAAGTTATGGCATTCTACGAGCAACGATTGGGAAAGATGCCATGCCTTTCTTTCTCGACGCAATATTATGTAGAATTGCCGGCTTGATGACATACTCGATACTCACAATACTTGCCTTACGTATATCAGATTCGTGCCTATTGCAGAAAACACACTTTTTACTTAAGTGTTTGTAAAAGTATTTAATTTTAATGACTCTTCAATATTGTTTCTCGTATAAAGCTTATAAATTTATTAAATGCAAGAGAAGAAGAAAAAACAAGAGATATTTCACATACATCGCTTAATGCGAATGATATGCATAGACTACGTTTCGAGTTTACTTACTAGAAAAGTAAAAATGACTACAAAATCATCATCAATTATACTATACATTGACGACAAGCCGATAAGATTCGTCGCGGTTCGTAAACAAATATGATCTGACTTCTGTCTGACTTTGTAACTTCTAGATAGCTTCTGGCCTTTACGAATGCCTAAGCATGCGCAAGATATGTAACACATTGTAACTTGGGATGGGATAAAAGTTTGATATATTTTGATTGAAATTTTAATATTATCTACAAAATAATATGACTTTGACAATTATCGAGCGGACAATAGTTGAATGTGCTTAAATTAAAAATCGGGCAACATAATCAAATCTCTTTAATGTGATGTGTAAAAATATTGAGAAAATGATTTGCTCTTTCAATTAATTACGTTAAGAGGAAATTCAGTCGAAACTTAATAGGAATAAAAGATTGCACTCAACGAATCCAAATCACTTCTCTTCTGCGTGTAATACAAATTCCATTTGGAAATTAATCGAGGAATTAATTGTTCTGCATCGGGGAGCAGATATATATTTCCACTACACAAAGTCTTTGTTTGTGCGGCAAAATTGAAAATTTTCATTATTTTAAATGTAGTCACAGTCTGTCTGGTTAATGGTCTACGAAACAAAGATCGCTACGATTTGGCGAGAACTCTAAATTATCGTGAGGCTTCTGGGAAATTTATGTATTTGCTATTCTGAGCTAACGCAGAAGATAAGTACCGCGACTACCAAGTTGACGTTCACGAGTTCAAATTTTAATTCAGGCTGGTCAACCTTGATCGTGAGTGTAGTGAGTGCTAAGCACTTGACAACTGAGCACATAACCAAGAAGCGATGGTCGCTTCTCAACTGTTTCTCTACTTGCGCACTTACTTCTAAGCATCACCCAGTTACACCTATAACGAATTCCTCGGTGATTGATCAGATTATGAAAAACAAAAAAGGACAAATATGTAAACTTTCCTGGTGCCCTGTCGCTACAATATATATTGCGCCAAGTAGGAAAATCGCATGCGACTTTTACATCTTTATGCTAACAAAGGGTGAAACATAATACCAATAAAAAAACTGAACGCAGCTTTCATATTCTAGAATAATAAAGTGGGTGTGGCAGATTTTTTCCATTTTTGCAGGTCATGCGTACAAGTTTTTATCGTTGATCTGTTCTGCTTTCTGAGTTTATCAGCGATAAACTTAAAAAGCATAGTTTACGTGGCGCTGTAATTGTCCCCTTTTTCATTGCTAAACTGCTTGTAAGAATTTTCAAGTGCCAGTCTGAATTTTTTGCTTATAGTATTACACAGACGGACAGATGGACACATGCTTAAATCGATTCCGAATTTAATGCGAATCGTATATATATTTATATAATTTGTTGGATATCTGAGGCTGCGTTATGGATTTGTTAAACGTTTTGGCGAAATTAATAAATACCGCGACATGCCCCCACCTCACCCGCCATCGATAATGAATATAAAAAAAATAAATAAAAGAAAAATGATATTAATATATATACATAATAATTTATTAAATAGCTATTAATTCGTTACATGAGCTTTTTAGTGTAAAAACTATTATTAATTACGCGCGAATTAGTTGATAATGGACGCGAAGGTGTTAATGTGCAAAAAATGGGGGAATGAAAAATTATTTAATTTAAAAAACTATGCATG